ATCTATCTATCTATCTATCTATCTATCTATCTATCTATCTATCTATCTATCTATCTATCTATCTATCTATCTATCTATCTATCTATCTATCTCCGATAGGACCAAGCCAATGGGAAAATTCGTGTAAAGTACATTTCCCAAGGACACGTACAACATCGGACCGTACGCACAGCCTCGAACCTCTGAATCCGCGATCTCATGATTACGACAAGTCCAGTAGCTTAACCACAAGACAACCGATGCAACGTAAAAACGAAAAAAAAAAAAACACTGGACAAGCGATGCAACAACAACGAAAAAAACAAAAATAAAACAAAAAACACTGGACAACCGGTGCAACAACAACGAAAGAAAAACCAAGTTCGATGTACTGATGCCATGATAGTATTAGTAAAATTTGGGCCATCACTTTCTGCCGTTCTTTCAATAAACCCAAGCTGACACCTTACCTCTCACTCATTTTGTCCTGACGAGGTCGACCGACTTGCAGAGATTCAAATTCAGCCAGCGTCAGAAAGCAATCTCGGCTCTCATTTATTTGTCCTGAAAATTCGAGAAAACGAATCGTGTTTCCAAGCCGCGCCAATCCGGGTTAATATCAGATATCATTGCTTCTCGATTCTTCAATAAGGCTTGAAAATGAATAATGCATCATGCTACGAATTGTGCAGAGAATATAAAATGTGAGGCATCGTGGTGAAATCAGGCACTCGTCAAAATAATAATATCGTAGATACTGGCATTTATCCAACGGTATGGCAGTTTTTTTCAAATTTTTGGAATTTTACAGAAAGGCGTTGACTAAAGGCAGAAAAAATGTAAATTTGCCGTTTCCAAGGACTCAAACTATAGAAGTCACCGAACTTTGGCGACCATTTCCTCGCTAACTTTACATCAGAAACCAGGCGTCACCTCGTCCTTCAAAATCAAATATCTTGATATATGTTTAAGGTAGAAGGGTATTTTTTTTAACCGAAAGATTGGCAAGGGAATAAGCTTTAAGATGATACCAATAACTTCAAGTTCCCGAAAACAGACAAACGCCTGATTCCACCGCGTCGTAACACGAAACTCCATTCGCGTCCGATCTTACAAGTGTGCATAGTTGGAGGGCTTTCTTGTGTAGTTTGCTCTTTATTTCCTATCAGACATAACATTATAATACTGCCTTATCTCTCTTTCTTCTCACTTTGTATTAATAATAATATGGCCTGTTTGTGTCGCTTAGTGCCGTAAAACTCTTACTGAAACAAAAGCAATCACACCGGTCACTCCCAATAAATAATTCATAATCGTTACTGAAATAATCTATTTGTAATATTCGTTTGTTGGTTGTTGGTTTTTTTGGTGTGGTTTTTTTTTCAAGTCTATACCCCCCCTTTCAATGTTTCTCTGGAAATCATGGCATAAGACAAAATCTAGAATATTTTACTCGATATTATGATTGCTGTCAATAAAAGGGATCTTTGTCTGTCCGTCTCGGATTGATTTTTGTGTCCCCTTTATTTCATATGATTGTTCTTAGACTCCTCATAAGCACACACACACACACACACACACACACACA